TTTGTTTATAATTTGTTACAGAGGAGTAACTAGCAAACTAATCTTTAGCCAGACATATGAACTATACCTTTGGCCTAAAGTACAAAGGAAGGTCCATAAATATTGAATAATTCTCTGTGATGGCAAAGTCATGCATCATGACGGGGTCTGATATTGTTATTGGAACAGGATCGTGCATAAAACCATCCTTTGATACTACTCTGTATGTGACATATGGTGCGCTATGTGAATATCCAAATGTAAACATCTCCCCTGCATATAGGAAAGTTATTTGTTGGAAATTGGAATCAGTTTACCATTAAATCTTTCAACTTAATCACTTATTTGAAGATGGCTTCACCAGTAAATGGGTCAACTTTTGGATGAGCCGTGAAGTTATGGCCCAATCTCTTGTCATAATCTAGCAAGCCAAGTGTCTGCAAATCACCGTCTTCAAAAACTTTAATAGCATCTGCAAAATATAAAATGAGACTACTTCAGTACCATAGTAGAATAAGTAAATACAATTATCAGCTAGTTCAATCTAGTTTACACAGAAAGGAAAAGTACTCACAAGGTTTGTCTCCTTCCGAGAGTGCAAGAAGCTTCTGATGGTGATATACAAGAGCTGTATTAGCTGGCAAACATACGAGCACAAGTTAGATTCATATCTTCAATTCATATACAAGAGCTAAAAAATCATAACACAAATTACCTGTTCCGTATCCATAAGAAACATCCAGTACTTTCAATTTAGCTCGCAACATTTGTATGTTAACCATTAACAGTCCAAATAGACCTTTAAGATCTCCAATCTGAAAATGGAAAACAAGAAAAAATATTTATCTTGTGCAAGTATAAAACAAGCATTCTTTTAGTTTCTTTATATACCTTCATAAATTTAGAGCCTTTAAAGTATTCTTCTTGCTTAAAACGAGAAGTTTGGACGTAGCGGGAAACATATGAAGCTTTTCCATCTTTGATACGCAAACCATGGATCATTCTGCAATTAATTGATACATAGAGATGAATATTATGAAGTTGTTATAGTTATTGAAATAGCAATATGACGCACCCATCTCCGTCAAACCTGCAAAAACAGAGAGAGAAAGCAGCGTAAGTTTAGAGAATCAAAGTATAAGATGGATGCAAAATCTAATAATATAGTGTTGAAAGCTTTACCAGTGATATCCCGCGACAGGAGAAAATTTAGGATTGGGCCCCACCCTAACAAACTCTCCATTCAAGCAATCCTGCAATACACATGAAATGGTAAGTGTTCAGCCGCAAGACCTGATATTGCTTCAACTTGAAATCAAGAGAAAAACAAAAAGAACTAACAGGAAGGTGGCCTTGCACAGTAAGATCCTTAACAGGAGGAGTCTCATCTTTAACCGGTGCAAAATTACCAGAAAGCCAGTGATGAGGAAGTGAAGAATCATAAAATATCTTGACAATAATCTTCTCCAGCAAATCAACAGCTTTTGAAGTCAATCCATTGCTAGGTTTTGGTTCAACTTTCAAAATCACTCCATTTTCGTTCTTCTCTGAACCCATTTTTCGTTTTGTGTTACAGATTCACCGAAATGGAATTTTGAAATAAGCGATGACTTATGTATGGTTTAACTTACATTTTGGGTTCGTGGACTGGTAAGTGCCACGTGGTTATCATAGTGTGTAGATTCTAATCTCTGCTTTGAAATCTCCTCCTCTTTGTCATTTTTTGGAGCGGAGATCCTCTCCGATTATCTAAAATATATGTCATATATTTCAATAATATATATATTTATATATTAATATTTCAGTAATTGTGTTTTTTATTTCTTTTAAAAAATAGAAAGGATATCAAGTTCATTTCTTATCATTGCTTGACTTGTTACGCTACCAAAACAAAAATATAGATAAATTATTTATACTCGAGATATTTTTTAGTTTAAAATAATATATACATACTTTCTTCTCCCGTGACAAATTTTAAATTATTTTTTATTTTTTATATTTATTGAATAATTAATGTATTTAATTTAAATATAGATCAAACACATCAAATTATATTTTATATTTATGAAATTAATAAGAATCTATATAATAAAAGAGTAAAGAGGAAATAAAAAATAAAAAAGAGAAAATAGGATTGTATTATTTTCATTATTACTGTCGATTTCAAGTATAATATGAGTCTTATTTATAGGACATATATATAATAAATAGAAAATCAATTGAAATCTCATAATTGATGAATATCCATGATCATTCCATTTATAACATTCTCAGATGTTAAAGAATAGGGAGGGAAAAATTCTAGTGAAGAAAAAGAGTACAACATGTAAAATCCTGTTACTAGTCGGTAAATATTATTACAAATAAGAAAGAAAATTATAGAGAGACAACCATCCATTATCCAACGATATCTCTTAGATGTTTGTTCAGATATGCCTCGTTAAAATCTTACTAGTAAAAACAGTGTAAAAAAAAATATAGTGAAAGAAAATGAGTACAATATCCTTTTAATGAGATGTTTCATATGTTCTTCAGAAATAATATAAGATTATTATTTTTGTATAATTTATGGATATTTGATAAGATTTTCGGGAACTATATAATAAATTGTTATTTTGCTATCCTTCAAGAATGTTTGATAAGTTCTTCAAGAATTTATATAAATATTGTTTTGTTATCCTTCAGGGATGTTTGATAAGTTTTTCAAGAACTTATATAAATATTATTTTATAATCAATTATTATAAATAACAGGTAAAATATATATATTATAAAAAGAAAAAGAAATATTATTACCTTGGAAGTCTTTGAGCTTCGTGTTGATAACGTGTTATGAAATTAATAAGAATCAATATAATAGAATAGTAGAGACGAAGTAAAGAAAGAGAAGAAAGAAAATAGGATTGTATTATTCTCATTATTGATTTCAAATACAATATGAGTCTTATTTGTAGGACATATGTAATAAATAGAAAATCAATTAAAATCTTCTAATTGATGGACATCCATAATCATTCCATTTATAACAATTATAGAGTATTAAAATGATATTACACATATAATAAATTAAAAAATTTATATTATCATTTCATAATCAATATTTTAAAAATAAATGTGTGATTTAACGGAATACACGACTCTAATTTTAAAATCTATTTTTATCTAATGAGTAGTGTAAATATTTTAAGAGTTATGTGGATTATAACATATTTTTTTATGTTTTTTGTTTTGTTTTTCACCACTGGTATAATTTGATTCATGGTTCAGTTATGACATCAAGTGATTTCAATCATCTTTCTATCACAGTTGTAAGAATAAAACTCTTATTGAACTTGTTGTTACAATTATGTTAAATTTTGGTGTTGCTGTTCATTGGTGGGTGAAAATTTGTTGAATGTTTGTTATGTCCTGAATCTTGTTCCCAAGTCAAAGAGTAAGATATCTCCTTATGAGATATTAAAGAAAAGACAACTGAACTTGTCTTATTTAAGAGCTTAGGGTTGTCTGACTTAACTCATAATTTCGGATCCGGAGCAATTTAAACTCGCTCGTATAGCCTATAAATGTGTATTCATTGGATATGCAGCAAACAGTAAGGCATATATATTTTATGACCTAAATGCTAAAGTGGTCATAAAATCAAATGATGTTGAATTCTGTGAAGACAAATTTCCTTTCAAATTGAGAAATAGTGGGAGCTCTGAATCGAATCACATTCATGTGATAAGAAGCAACGATGGAGTAGTAACAGAACTTCAACGAAGTAAAAGAGTAAGAGTTACTAAAGACGATGGACCCGATTATATGGCTTATAATGGAGAAAAAGATCTAATAAATCTTCAAGAAGCACTGTCATCCCTGGATGCAGATTTATGACAAGAAGCTATTAATGATGAGATAGATTTTCTAGAATCTAACAAGACCTGGAACTTAGTAGACTTGCCTCCTGGTTGCAAACTAATCGGTTTTAAATGGGTTTTGAAAAAGAAACTAAAAGTTGATGGAACTGTTGATAAGTACAAGGCTCGCCTTGTAGCCAAAGGTTTAAGGCAAAGAGAAAATATATATTTCCTCAATTCTTTTTCACCGGTCACTCGAATTACATCCATTAGGGTACTGATTTCAATAACAACTATTTATAACTTAGTGGTACACCAAATGGATGGTAAAACAATTTTTCTAAACGGTGACTTAGAAGAAGAAATCTATAAGGACCAATGAGAAGGGTTTTTGATTCATTGGCAAAAACATAAGGTTTGTAAGTTATATAAGTCTTTGTATGGTCTAAAACAAGCTTTTAAGCAATGACATGAAAAGTTTAATAATTTAATGATATCGAATGTGTACAAAGAGAATGAAAGTGACAAATGTGTATATTACAAATCTGATAATCACATTTGCATGATCATATGCCTATATGTAGACAATTTACTTATATTTGGATCAAACATTCGGGTCGTTAATGATATGAAATCATTGTTGTGCGACAACTTTGATATGAAAGACCTCATAGAAGCGAGTTTGATTCTTCGTATCAAGATCACGAGATCTGAGAAAGGAATTTCTTTGGATCAATCACAATATGTGGAGAAGATCTTAAAGAAATATAATTACTTTGACTGTAAACCAGAGAGCACATTATACAATCCAAGCATGAAACAATTTAAGAACATGGGTGAAAGAATTAGACAAACGGAATATGAGAGCATCGTTGGAAGTCTCAAGTATGCCACTGATTGTATTAGACCCGACATTGCATATATTGTAGGATTATTATGCAAGTTCACTAGTAGACCGAGTAATGAGTATTGGTAAGCTATTGAGTGAGTCATGTGATACCTTAAAAAAACCTTGAATATCAGTTTGCATTATAAGAGATTTCCTATTGTACTTGAAGGATATAGTGATGCAGATTGGAATACCTTATCAGATGATTGCTAAACAAATAATGGTTATGTATTCAACATAGCTAGAATAATTGTATCTTGGAAATCAAAGAAATAGACTATCTTGGCTTAGTCCATGGTGGAGTCTAAGATGATAACATTAGCGACTGCTAGTGAAGAAGCAAGTTGGTTAAGATGCTTGCTAGCTGAGATCTCTTTATGGGAAAAACATATGTCAGATGTGTTGGTCCATTGTGATAGTACCACGACTATTGTAAAAATCGAGAATCATTTTTATAATGGTAAAAGACATCAAATTAGAAGAAAGCATAACATTGTTAGAGACTGTATCTTTAAAGGAGCTGTAAAAGTGGATCATGTATGCACTGATGAAAATATAGCAGATTCTTTGACAAAAAAATTAGCTAGAGAGAAAATCTATCAATATAAACAAAATATATAAATATAAGCACAATTCATTATGTTCTGTTCAATTCAAAAATAATAAAAATGGAAACTCTGCTCCATATTAGAAATTCTACGATTTGTAGAAAGATGTGTACATAAACTGAGGCATAGGCATTGCAGTGCAGTGAGGTTGTCTGCATGTTTAGAACTTACCCTGTTCTTGCAGTTGTTCCTGTGAATGGAGCCATAAAAAAATTAACATGCATTTAAATGTAAGTAGCTTTTGAAACGGAAAGTGGTAATGGTAAAACAATCAATGAGAATCATTAATGATTCATTGCGAAAATGTGAAGGGAATAGAGAGGAAGAAAATGCAATGTACGAATAAGCAATGTAAAGTGACACAAACCTCTGTGACAAAGAAAGCATGGAAACCATATGGAACTCTTTGAGGCAATTCTACAACTGCAACAGGTTCTCCTGACATTGTTTTTGCATCTATAACGTGCACAAATGATTTCCTACGGTATTCAAGTTAAATAAAAGATTAAGAAAAACAAATACTAAGCCATATAAGTCAGGACTATGTGTGTAGAGGAAATTGATACCCGGTATTCTCATCATGTACAAAAAAGATCAAGTATCCGTCATCTTCTTCAGAATCGGTGCCAGGGACACGCGGGACATAAACAGCCTCAGAGCCAAACCTTCCTGATCCCAAGTCGTAGAGACCTTGAACATTTCCTCCAACTTCAAGCTTTGTTTTTCTAGAATCTGGCTCGGCGTGCAAATCAAATTTAATAATCCCAGTTACTTTAGCAATGTTGTCTAGCGTGGTCCCATACACGTATCGTTGCTTCCTGATGAAATGAAAATAGTAAATACGGAAAGTATATATGGTAGCACTGTAATACTCATTCTCAAATAAGAGTCTCAACCTTAATAAGCTAACCTGCCAATGTAGCTTTCATTCACCCTAGGAAAATCTACAGCAGATGCTGATAGTTTCTTTTGAGAAGCTTCACCGGTTTTCATGTTAAATCTCATTTCATACCTGGAAAGAGTTCAATGAATGTAAGTATAGAGTATCATCCATTGATATTTTCTACATAAATTGCATATAAGAAAATGTCATTTTACAGCTCATTTGAGATATTATAAAGCTTTTCCTTGACAGGCCCGGTGACCATGTCCAAATTTGGATTCTCCATGCGGCACGTGATCAAAACTATTTCATCCTCCTCCTCCCAAGCATTGGCTAAAAATGAGTCAAATAAAATATGAAATTGGACAAATTGAATCTTTTTTTTACTAACTTAAAATCGCGATCATTAGAATATCAATCAACATAGTACATACATACCATTGTGGAAAATGAAGCAATTTGGTAGTTCAAACCATCTGATAAGCTTCTCATCCTTAGCGTACCTAGGTAGTACACCAAAACGAGCTTTTGGGGTTGAATCAAATGAGAATATCAATGTCTTATTCTTCACCATTTCCTGAAAAATACATTTTAATTTCCATCAAGTGATATTACTAACAAACTAATCTATAGCTAGATCATATGAACTAACTACCTTTGGCCTAAAGTAGAGAGGAAGGTCCATAAATATTGAATAATTCTCTGTGATGGCAAAGTCATGCATCAAGACGGGGTCTGGTATTGTTATTGGAACAGGATCTTGCATAAAACCATCCTTTGATATTACTCGGTATGTGACATACGGTTCTGTATGTGAATATCCAAATGTAAACATCTCCCCTGCATATAGGAAATCGGAATTACTTTTCCATTAAATCTTTCAGCTTAATCGCTTATTTGAAGATGCCTTCACCAGTAAATGGGTCAACTTTCGGATGAGCAGTGAAGTTATGGCCTAATCTCTTGTCATAATCTAGCATGCCGAGTGTCTGCAAATCACCGTCTTCAAAAACTTTAATAGCATCTGCAAAATTTAAATGAGACTACTTCAGTGCCGTAGTAGAATAAGTAAATACAATTATCGCTAGTTCAATCTAGTTTACACAGAAAGGAAAAGTACTCACAAGGTTTGTCTCCTTCTGAGAGTGCAAGAAGCTTCTGATGGTGATATACAAGAGCTGTATTAGCTGGTAAGCATACAAGCACAAGTTAGATTCATATCTTCAAATCCATATACTAAAGCTAAGTATTTCAATTTCCGAGTTAAAAAGAGGTTTCGCCTAAACGTGTATCAGCAACAGCAAGTTCCTGGGACCTTGAATTTGACCGGAAAAAATCATAACACGAGTTACCTGTTCCGTGTCCATAAGAAACATCCAAGATTTTCAATTTAGCTCGTAACATTTGTATGTTAACCATTAACAGTCCAAATAGACCTTTGAGATCTCCAATCTGAAAATAGCAAACAACAACAAGTGTAAACCAAACAATTCTATCACTGGTATATTTTTCGCCAACCTTCTATACTCTTACTTTCTTTATATACCTTCAGAAACTTAGAGCCTTTAAAGTATTCTTCTTGTTTAAAACGAGAAGTCTTCACGTAGCGGGAAACATATGAAGCTTTTCCATGTTTGATACGCAAACCATGGATCATTCTGCAATTAATTGATACATAGATTAATATTCAATGACTATATAGAAAATATTATGAACTTGTTATAGTTATTGAAAACAGCATAGCACACACCCATCTCCGTCAAACCTGCAAAATCAAAGAGAGAAAGCGCCATATGAGCATAAAACTCCAAATCATGAATACATGTTAAGTTCAGACAATCGAAAAAATCTCCACATCCATACTAAACCCTTCCATAAAAAGTAAATTAGATTGGTTAAAGATGTTATCTCAAAGAATACAAGAAAACGGTAAAATATTTACCAATGATATCCGGCCACCCGAGAAAACTTTGGATTAGGCCCCACCCTAACAAACTCTCCATTCAAGCAATCCTGCAATACACGTCAAATGGTAGGTGATGAGCAGCAAGACATGATAGTGACACAAATACTCTCGTGACACATGTTAAGAGCAACAAAATAACAACACAGTAAATTAACGTGAAAACTCTAAAATCGAAAAAAATATCATGACCGTTATCGAATGACAACCAGAAAATATCACTATGTAAAAATTGTTACAACATATAGACTACCCTTAAACATCCCAAGACCACAATGCACTCACACTCTCCAAAGCAAATATTTAACTACCTCTGACTACACTCTAAAACAAGAGTATAAGAGAAAAATAAAAGAATCAAATACAATCTTAAAGTGTTTTTTTTATTGGTACATCTTGCAAAGAAAAACTTGAATCCTATATATAGTCTTGGACTCCCTTTTCATTCACAAAAATAAACAATGAGAGACTTCTTCAACATATATATTTTCAACCAATCTCAACAACACAAACACTCTGACACCATGATATGACAGAAATACTTTGAGATTGATCATGTAAAAAACATAGGACACCACACGGTTACACATATGATAATATTTGAGCTTCGTTAATCCATGTATTATTAAAAGAAGGAATTCAACTAACCGGAAGGTAGCCTTTTACATTAAGATCCTTAACAGGAGGTGTCTCATCTTTGACAGGTGCAAAATTACCAGTAAGCCAGAGATGAGGAGGTGAAGAAGAATCATGAAATATCTTGACAATAATCTTCTCCAACAAATCAACAGCTTTTGAAGTCAATCCATTGCTCGGTTTTGGTTCCACCTTCAAAATGACTCCATTTTGCTTCTTCTCAGAACCCATTTTGGATTTACGTAAATGAGTTTGTTATAGTATTTGTATGTTTTTGTAGCCGTGGTTATCATATAGGATGTAGATTCTATTCTCTGTTTTGAAATCTCCTCCTCTTTATGCTTTCTTGTCATTGCTTGACTCGTCACGCTTTAATAAATAACATTATATCAACAATACATAGCTGTAATTATCTTCTTCCACAATAACTTCCGGCGTATTTTGCTACGTAGTCGTTCATCATATAATGTGCCAAAAATTCACCTACCAATTTATATATAGTAGAATACCAACAAAAATAATCAATGATAAATAATTAATCTACCAAACAATAATTTCGGTAGCACCAAAGAAAAACATGTATCTTTAAACTCAATGGACATCTAATCAATGATGAATCTTTCTCCTTATACATTTTTTTAAATATTCTATGAAATATTGAAAAACAAATGAAGTATTAGTAATAGTTTCAACTCACACTTTAATTTAGAACCACATTTACCACATGCTCTCTAGAAAATCAATTATTTTAGAAAATAACAAAATTGAACGTAAATTGTTATCAAATTTCAATAACCTATAAAATGTGGTATATTGTTAGATTGTTCGGTTTCTTGTGTTACAAGTTTTCTATTTTTTCCTCATGCATGCTTTTCACATAATTAGTTAGGGTGTTGGTTTATTTTGCTTTTTCTAATGAGAATGAGTACCTTAGTTTGTAAGCTATCATATTAACGTGATATCACAAACAATTTTTGCATCTTCTCTTCTTCACCCTTCACTCTGATATTCTCTCTTTTCTTCTTCTTCCTTCTTTTCTTTAATGGCTCTTGTCAACTTTGTTGATTTCTCAACAAACTCTTCAAATCCCTTATTATCTTCACCTCAATGAAAACCCCTCCCTCATTCTTGTTTCACCTTTCTTAGACAACAAGAACTACCATTCTTGAACTAGATCCATGCACATTGTCCTGATCTCCTAAAACAAGGAAAGGATTCATCGACGGTACTCTACCTAAGCTTAACATTACTGATCCTTTGTATGCTCCTTGGATTAGGTGCAACACCATGGTTCTAGCATGACTTCAACGATCCATCAGTGAATCCATAGTTAGATTTGTTCTTTGAATTGGTTATTTTTGTTGTACGTATTTTCGACACAAGTATTTAATTTATCGTTTTCCTCAAGGATTAGTGTGATATTACTGTCGTTCTACAGTTATAATAGTTTTAAGTTTAGGTTTCATAAAAGGGTTTGATATTGGTTTTAGTAACGGAAAATGTCGATTTCATGCAAATTATCAAGTTTAGG